TTTTGGTACCAGGAGTCAAACTCAAGGCCTCATGCTTGCCAGACAGGTGTTGTGCCACTGAGCAACAACCCCAGCCTGGCTTTTATTCTTATTTTTTACTTAATATTGAGGATTGAACCCGAGGCCTCAAACGTGCTAGGCAAGTGACCTACACTGAGCTACACCCCGAGCCATACTATGTGTTGTAGAATAGCAGCATGTAATATCTTCTACATCCAAAATGGTATGTGTTTGATATTTTTGGATTAGGCAAGCAAATTACTTTGTCTCATTAATATGTAGTTAGGAGAGGAATTGATGTTTTCTGAGCACCAACTTCGAGGCAGTGAGCTAAGCATTCCTCCTGGAAACCTCCCACTCTGGAATAGGGCACACTGGGCGCCCGTCCTGTGTCAGGTGCTCCTCTAGGAACTGATAATGGAGCAAACAGGACAAAGTTCCTGCTCCCGTGGACCTCACATGCTAAAGAGGCCAGACATACAAGATCTGGCAAACAAGTGAGCAAGATGACTTCAGGGAATGCTGAGTGCTTCTGGGGAAACTGTCCACTCAGATAAGGCCATCAGGAAGGCATCTCCAGAGAGGTCTTCAACACTTAGGATGAGGAGTAGGGGACAAAACATACTGTGCAAAGGGAGGAATTAATGAGGAGGAGTAGGAAGCCACCCTTCATTGTGTGAAACTTCATTACTACAGATAGTGTGTGTGTGTGTGTGTGTGTGTGTGTGTGTGTTACTAGAGATCAAACTCAGGGGCATTCAACCACCGAACTGCATCCCTAGCCCTTTTCATTTCATATTTTGAGACAAGGTTTCACTAAATGGTCCAGGCAGTACTTGAACTTGCTATACTCCTGCCAGTCCTGGGATTAAAGCAGTGTACCATCATGTCTGGCTCCTACAGATTTAAATAAAAACTAAAGGAAACACCAGGCATGGTAAAACCCACCTATAATTCCAGCACTCTGGGAAGCTGAGGCAGGAGGACTACAACTTTGAACCTAGCAACATAGCAACTTAGTAAGACTCTGTCTCAAAATATAAAAAATTAAAATGAGGCCTGGGGATGTAGCTCAGTGCAAAGTCTCTGGGTTCAATCCCTTGTACCGCAAAATAATACTAGTAATGGTAATAATAATAAACATAAAAATAATAAATAATAATAAATAAAAATAGAAACTATAAACATAATAATATAATAAATATATAAATGTAGTGCTAAATATAATATAAATATAACAAA